ATCAAGAGGTGGAGTCCCTAGGGAGTCGAGGTGGTATGAGAGGAGTTACATCTGCAAGCTATCTGCTACAGGGCTGAGGGTGAGCCTAGAAAGATCATAATGGAAGACAGAAAGGACAGTGAAAGTCTGTTCTTCCATCTTATGATCAGTCTAGGTCAAGTGTTTATTCATCTTCCCAGCCACAACTGTAATAATTTTTTTAATGATTTGACTTATGAATTTCTTTTGGTTGGAGTCTAGTAATATGCTTTTTAAAAAAGTGGATGAGTGACTCCTTTGTATCAATTTATGTAATTTTAATGAAATATCAGTAGATGGCAGTATATTGTTTGGTTTTCTTTCTCTTTCTTTTTTAAATATATTCCACCATAGAGATCTAAGAAAAAGCAACAAACAAAACAACAACAAAAAAATCCAACTCAATCTTTTCCAATATTTTAAGGATAGTTGATTTAATTAACATTATGTAACAGTTTTTCAACTGATGTTGATTCATGATTCAGAAATAAAGATCAAAAAATACCAGTTATTTTCTTATCATATGAATCCAATTTTCTTCATTCTTTATGTTAGTCATCAAATATTTGAGGGAGTGCAAAAAGAGTAGGATGTTATTTGCCTTCGTAAAGTAAAGTCTAAAGGGGAAATAGAATAAAATAATGAAAATTATAAGAAAAAATTTTTTTTGAAATATCAGGAACTAGCTAAATGTTTTAACCTAACAAGTTTGTAAATGGTACCACCTAGATACAAAATGAGCTCCATGTCACTGTAGAATCTATAATATTATCTAGCATAGTACAAAGATAAATGAATATATTAAAAAGAGAGAGTCTTATCTGTCTAGATAGAGCAAACAAGAATTTTTTAAGGAAGACGGTATCTAAATTAGTGCTGAGTTGAAAGCTTGGCTGTAATGTGGGCATGATCAGAACTGTTTCAAGAAGCATTATTTTGTCAAAATGTGGCAAAGCAGAGATAGATAGATTATGGGTCTGCATGTATTGTGTGACAGGCATTTCTAGGTCTCTACCCTTTAGAAGCTTGTATCAGTTGAAGAATATAAGAAACGATGGCAGTGGTGATCAATGCTATTGAGAAATATGGGGTTGGAAACATGGTCCAGCTAGTAAAGTATTTATGTACGTAAAGACCTAAATCAGTTCTGCCAGAGCCCACATAAGAAAGCCAGGCATAGCAGTGCATGTCTGTGATATCACACTAGGAAGGTCCCTGGGACATGCTGGCCAGCCAGTCTAGCCTACCCAGTGAGTTTCAAGTTCAGTGAGAATCAAAGTCCAAATAAGAAAGATGCAGAAGGTTCTTGGGGAAGATACTCACTCAGCGTCTTCCTACCTCTGCCTACATGTGGACATGTGAAGACAGAGAGAGACAGAGAGACATAGAGAGAGAGGGAAAAGGGGAGACAGAAAGAGGGAGTGCGTGCATGCACGTGCAAACAAGAAACAGGATGAAAGAATGAGGTCATGTTTTAAGAAGAGCTTTTAGGAAGGATTCCCAGTTAACACAAGTAAGGGAAGATTGGTTTCCAATATAACTTAAAGATGACCAGTAAATTTTACAGGAAGAATTGTAGTATCTAAAGGAAGAAAAAAAGTAAGATTCTACCATGTCCCTTAGATAAGACAAGTAAAGCAATGGCCTTGGATATTCTACATGTGATAACATCTTTCAGGATTTCCCAAAGGGGCAATGAATACCAACAATGAACTCTCTTTATCTTTGGCAAATCTAGTTAAATTGCCCTGAGCCCTACATCTTTCCAGAGACTTCTTGAGATAATAACTTAGGGTTAAAGCAACAATAAGCAACAATTCAACTTATAATTTTTTGAGATATAGAAGGCTGGAGGGGTCAAAGAGATGAGTTTCAAAATTGAAATACCTGTGCGAAATTCAAGTGGAGATGTGAAGTAGGCAATCTAGTCTGAGTCTATAAGTCAAAAAGGATGTTCAGGGTAGAGATGTAGATTTAGGAATGCTCAGCCTCTAACTAGATGATTTTTTTTTTCAAGACAGTGCTTTTCTGTGTATCCTTGGCTGTCCTGGACTTGCTTTGTTGATAAGGCTGGCCTTGAACTCACAGCCATTTGCCTGCTTCTGCCTCCCTGAGTGCCGGGATTGAAGGCATGTGCCACCATGCCCGGCTTTAACTGGATGATCTTAAAGTGTTGAACTGGATGGCATACCTTGTATTAGGAGGAACAAAAAAGAGGTAGATGAAAATCAAGTACCAGAATACTCTATAGAAGTGAGAAAGTTGAAAAGAGCCAGCAACAGAGGCAAAGTATTGTGTTTTAGAGGACACACTCATGATCACACATGTCAAATCTTGTCACCAAGTCAAATAAAAGGAAGATTAAATTATTCTTTGAATGTGGAAACATGGAAAACACAGCTACCATGCAGAAATTCATTGGGGGTGGTGTGGTAGGTGCTCAACTCTCTGAAGGCTCAAGAAGAATGAAAGGAAGGAAGAGGATAGCAAGTATCTGGCCATAAAGAGGTTAAAGAATGGCGTTGATAGTTGAAGGATATTATAGTGTGAATGTGTAGTGGCACTCCTGTTGGTTAGACTGGGGTAATGTGTATAATCAGATAAAGAAGGAAAGTGTTTTAAGACTATGTTCAGAGTCATGTCTTTGAGGATATTACTAGACTTGGTGACTTGATGAAGAGGCAGTAGTTCTGGGTTTCAGTTAAAGCAGAAAAAAAAAAAAAGTTAAAGCTAAAGATGAGATTCTGCCAAAGGTGGAGCTTGCGTTTCAGGGAACACAAAGGATGAGCATCAAATAAGGGTTGTGCCCAGCTCCATGGGGTTGCACATTTATAGTAAGGAACGATTTGAAAGTCTGAGGGCTTTTCCTAAAGACTGTGGTATCCTAAGACAACCTACATATCCTAGATATGGAGAATATTAGACCCAGTGTTATCTTTAGGTCGATTGTGCCAATGGCACTGGTTTGAAGGAGAGAGATTAGACTTACTAGGAAGACAACTCACCTAACAGGCAGGAACTTAGAGCATGAAATTGTGCACTCTCTTGAAAGAGCCCCTCCCTCAAGGAGTGTGAGTGATGGTGGGACTAGAACAGAGGTCCTGTGGCAGATGTGTATGTAGCCTGTGCAAGGTTCCAGTTCCTTCGCCAGCACTAGGAGAAGAAAGATTAACAATCTAATTTGGTTCTGCAGTGATACATGACATGATTGCTCTTCCTTGAAAAGTACTCTAGCATAGTTTAGCATTAATAATATGAACTTTGGCACCAAAATACATAGATTAAACTCACATTACAAAAGCTCTGTATAAACTCCTGATCTGTTTGGGCCTCAGTGGACCCTTCTATAAATATCTACCTCATAGAGTCAGATGGAGTTTATACAGGTAAAATATTTAGAACACTACGAAGAGCAGAATAAATATTGTATATAACACTTTAAGAATCTGAAGCACTTAGTGTCCCAGCACAAGTAGGGTAGGCACGCAAGAAGCACTCAGCACTGCAGTCACTTGAAAGCATTGGGCTAAGGATAAAGTGTGCATTCTAAGGCAGGTAGGGAAATTAAGGATGAAGTGTTTGGCCATAAAACTAAACAAAGACAGTAGAGAATATAATTGGACCTGCTAATACTAATCTGAAGCAGTTCTGTCTATGATAAAGGAAGGACATAGAGCCGAGGCACTAACACAGAATAGACTCAGAATCAGGAAGAACCCAGGAAGTAAGGAAGTTCCAAATGAGATTTGAAGGAAGTGACCAGAAGACAAGAAAAAATCCTAAATTCTCACATTGATTCTGACAATCTGTTAGTTAAATTTTCAGGGTTTCTCCAGCTTGGTTTTAGTCTCCTCACGTAGGAAGCAATTTTGGTTTACTTTATTTTTGTGAACACATCTTAGTCATTTAAGCTTAGAAGGCATGTGTAATCTACATATGTATGTATATGTACTGTGTATGTGTATGTGGGTATGTGTTGTGTTTAATTTTTAGAAAAGATGCTCAGTGATTAATGAAACTTCTCTGTGGAGCTTTCTTGCATGTGCCTGACTTTTGGGATAATCTTTCTTTCTTTCTTTCTTTCTTTCTTTCTTTCTTTCTTTCTTTCTTTCTTTCTTTCTTTCTTTCTTTCTTTGTTCTGCAAAGTTTGGAATCATGTTAGTACAGGTTAGATTTACAACATCTATAAGGATCTTGGGCTTTGGCTAACAGTAAGCTGACTAAGAAATTCTTTATTCACAAATGTGAAATAGGAGGTGATAACTTCCAGTCTTAACAGTATTTGTTGACATTGAGTCCATTTTTTTTGTGTGTCATAAGAACTTGTATCATTTCCTGTGAACAGGCAAAGTCTGATGCTGTTGTCCTAAAACCCATAATGCTCTCTGTCTTGTCATCATCTTGCTGCTCTGGATTAGTGCCATTCTTTCTCTTCCTTTTTTAATGGAATAAAATCTCTGCCATCCACTTACAAACACATTTTCAAACCTGCTTAGGGTCCACCCTAGCTGAAATAACACAGGACAGAAATTTTTAGATGTTCTTAGAATTATGTTTGTATGTGCTAGCTAAATCTATTTCAATATAGTACTGAATATTCCTGCTGCTAATCCATAACAACTACTCAGCATATGTCAGGTATTTTGTGTATGTGTGTGTATAATTACATATGTATGTAATACACATACAAAATTATGTTATATCTTTACTTATTACCTTGGCCCTGTGGGGCTTCATAGACGAAGACGCTGAAGATAAAATACAAAGCTTCCTCAAGATCCTAACAGCTGAAAAGCTGAACCAAAATTTAAATATAGTTTTTCTTTCCTTCCTAAATCTCATTTAATTGTTGTACTTAATATTAGTACTAATAGTGAACAGTCTTTAATCATCCTTGTAATGTATTTAACATCTCTCAGAATCATGAATATGTGACAGGAAAAAAGGGAAAAGTGAAACTATCAATATATATTGTTTTGTAGGAGTAAAGAAGGTGAATTAATCCAGGGAAAAGAGTTAAGAAACAGAGAATGTCAGGAGACAAAGAAAGGAAGAATGAAGGCATTCCTAAAGAAGGTAAGGAAGCAATCTTAGTAAATAGCTAAAAGATCAGTAGCAATGATGAAAATGAATGAAAGGATTATGGTGTTAAAATTCATAGCTAGAGGAGAAGGAAGCAGTCATGTTTCACCAAGAGTAAGCACATACAGGGTTTATATGTTTTATATAACACTTAAAAACAGGAAAACACAACTAAGGAATGCTGAAAGTTTGTGTGTGTGTGTGGGGTCTTCCCCAGGTTAGAGCACACCAACTAGTTATCCAATACCAAGTAGTTGGCCCTGAAAATATATATACAAGTTACATTAGACATACCAAGCAGGTTGTACGTATGTACTTAGTAATATATATGTATACATATATATGTGTATATGCATGCATATATGTATGTATATATGTATATAAACATGTGTATATATATGCATGTAAAAAAACTACTGAAAAAGCCACACATTTGAAAAAAGTGAGGAAAGGTATATGGAAGACTTTGGAGAAAGTTATGAGTTATTATTTCAAAAACTAAGTAATTAAAAAAAAATCAGGAATACACTGAAAAAAATTAACGACAAGCGGTTTCCCTTACTATGGTCGCACTGTAACCATAACATGTGCAAGATGTCCACATTAAGAAATGAAGACAATCACATTTACTCTGTTCTTTAAAGAACTGCTACAACAATGAGGCAAGCAACCTTGAAGTGCCATTATTGCTTTGTTCTTGTATTGGAGGAACCCTGCTATTTGACTTGCAGTTCTCCCAGTCTGGATAACCATTCTGAACTTTAAGGTGCAGGACTTCCTCTTTCCAGCAGTGCCTCTTGCTCTCTGCCTGGCTTCATCTGGAGAGTGTCTTTAGACACATATTCCTCTAACCACATTTGATATATGGCCTTTGACACAACTCCCTGCTGGCTCTCCCCTCCCCAAGCCTCTATGATAGTTAGGTACTATGTTGCCATCCGTATGATAGGAGTGTGCTGTTTAATGCAAATCAAGCATCTTTGAAGTGCCTAGTTCTAACCAATTGTGTACACCTATCCTTGGAGCTTCCCACCTACTCCCCAAGGGTTATATGCTTTTGTTCTCTACAGTTAAAGTTTAACTAGCTCCAGGAAGTGTTTCCCGGAGTGTGTGATCCCTATACAGTGTCTGCTGGCCATTTCAGGCTCGATTCTCATCCCATGCCCTTCCTGACTTTGTGGGTTGGTGGGAGACAGCCCCTAGGCAGGAGGAGAACCACATTTTTAATTTTGTTTAGAGCTAGAAAGGGAGAGTGGCAACCCCAAATTTAGTTATTGATAAGAAAAAAATCAAAGTTTTAATGAATTTATAGCAAGAAATATGACTTTCTTAAGATGGCTGAAATTAATTTGTATTAAATACCTTATTCTTTTGTCTAGCAATGGGCAAAGAAGACACATCTTCATTAACTAATGCTGTAGAGCAAGTTGCCAAACAACAACAATCACAAACATCAGAAATAGAAAAGCATAAAAAACTTTTGTTCCATTTGCAGGTAACTAATTTCATATAATCTTTTAAGATGTCTTTTAGCTTCTTCAGAACATTTGGTGAACTGTAACTTATGAAGAATAGCCAGGGACTGGAGTGATGGTTCAGTTGGTAATGTGCTTGCCACACAAGCAAATGAACCTGAGTTTGTTGGCCAGGACCCACGTAACAAAGCCACATATAATGGCATGTGCCTTAGGGGTGTATAGAGAAATTTTACTCTACCAATATGGCTGCTCTGGCAAAGGATCACATCCCAAGACCTTCCTAGGTCTGTGTAATCCTACTGGAATGCAGATAGAACAAATACTTTTAATCCTTCTGGCTGGAATACAGACATGCCCTTAGTACACACCTTAGATCCTAAACAATGGAGGGAAAATTGATTTGTAGAAGGAAGCACTCTGTTTCAAAGTGATGTCTAATTGAGAGGCAGACAAAGCAATGAATCAGAAAAAGATTTGACAGAATGAATCAGAGATAGGATATGCCCAACTCTCAGGAGAACAGATAGGAAAGAGAAGCTACTTAAGAGCAGTGCAGAGTCTGGGGGGCTGGTGGAGACAGTACAGTACAGTTCAGGAGTGTAATAACAGTTCAGTTGAATGCAGTTCAGTTCAGTCCAAGCAGAACAATTCACTGAGAAATAAAGAGAATCCAGTTTGAATCAATTAGTTTGGAGAGGAGTTTTGAATCAGAACAGCTGAGTTGAACCAGCCAGCTGGAGTTTAGCAGGAACAAGAAAGGGTGAGCTTATTCAGCTGTAAGCCTTGGAGACAACAATGACATCTGATGAATAAAAGTTACTTTTATAGGACTGTGGACAAAGGATGATCTCTGTGGCTTACTGGCTAGCCAGCCTAGCCTAAATGGCAAGCCCTAAGCCAGGGAGAGACCCTGCCTCATAAAACAGAGTAGATGATGTTTGAGGAACAACACCAGAAGCTGTCCTCTAGTTTTTGCATTCATGTACATATGCAGGAGATGTAAAGATATAGTCACACATTCAAATACACATATGTACACACACATGCAAACACACATACCAGCACCATCACAAATAAAAGAATAGTATTGGGATGTTTATTTTAAATTAATATTTATTCTCCTAAGCTTTCTGTTCTCCCAAAGTAATCACTATGATATTTGAGTTTTTAGAATATCTTACACTCCCATACAGTGTCATTGTAGGTACACTGTCATTATAGCTGTAGTGTATGTACATAAAACTCCATACCCCATAGGATTATTTAAATTCATCCCTGTGGAATTTTCCCATAAAACCCTAAACTGAAGAAACTAATAAAACCGTGTAAGCCAATAAAGCTATGGCATCTGAGTGATTAGTTGTCAGTGAATACTTCAGGCAGCCTTCCTGTTTCCTGTGCACAATGTTCTGTCATCGTTCTGCAAGGATCATGGGGGCCATCTTGGTCTTGTATGAAACATAATTGAACATAACTACATTCTATGAATATGACTAAAGAAAAGAAACTGTGTTTGTAAAGATGTTATTAAATAGATCACAAAAATGAAAAGAATGCGCTCTGGAGCTGAATTGTCCTGCTTGCAAGGCTAGATCTGGATATTTAGCTTTATAATTGAATTTGCCAGTGCCTCTTACTCCTCTTTTGTAAAATGGAGAGAATGATGGAGTATGGCTGTAAGGGCTTTGTGAGTATTACAGTAAACTTGTAATTATATGTAAGGTATCATTTTGGGGGCCACAGTTGACATTAGGACTTTATTTTGACATTTAGTTAAGTATTAGTGTATTCATAGATATATAATGGTGATAATTAAATTAATGTAGTATATATTGTTTATAAATATTTCCATTATGTTAGTCACTCCTAAAATAATTTGTATAAAGAATTTTTCTTTTCTCTTTTCTGGTTTTTTTTTGAGACAGGATTTCTCTGTGTAACAACAGCCCTTGCTGTTCTAGACTCACTTTGTAGACCAGGATGGCTTCAAACACACAGAGATCCACCTGCCTCTGCCTCCTGAGTGTGAGTGTGGGGATTAAAGGTGTGTAATACCACACCCCACTTCTAAAGAATTTCTTATAACAACTGTTTAAAATAAAACTTCAAACAATATTTTATTTATGCTGAGAGCCTTTTTTTGAGTAAAAATTTTACAAAACACCGTGTTTACCCTTGCATGGCTCATTACCTGTGGGAGGGAGAAAAAACATTAAGCAAATAATTATATAACATACTGCATCATCAACATTAGAAACGATAACCCAATACAGATTTAACACAAGAAAAACTTTTTACTAAAGAAGTGACCTTTCAAAGTCAAGTTGTACAGGGCAGCTGAGGTATTGAATACCTGGGACAAGTTTAAGAGTGAGGGGTTAAGAGGTTAATATTCCAGAGAGTTCATAGAGGCTTGACATAGCATTGGCACATTCACAGGACCAGAAGTACCTTGGCAATGGCATAGAATAGAGAAGGTTTTGAGAAATGGTGGAAGCTATTCCCCGTGATAGGAAAGTTGCATCTTATCATGATAAGAGCCAAATGGGTTTTAAAACAAAGATTCAGTTAAAAAGTTTGTTATAGAAAGAGAAGTCTAGGTCTATAAAAAGTATTTGTTTCAACAACTACTTGTGACAAAAACTCTCAGCAAATCAGGAATAGACAAGAATTTCCTCAATCCAAAGAAAAACAACATCTGTGTAAGAACAACCATATGTCTGAGGCTGAAATACTGAGTGATCCTCTAGTTCCTCTAGTGATCAGGAACAAAACAAGAAGCTTGCTTTTATTTTTATACAAAATAGTACCAGTAGTTCAAAGCAGGGCATCATGTCAGAAGAAAACTTCTTAAAAAGTTATACAAGGCATGGTTACCTTTATAAAAATCCCAATGCATCCTGAAAGGGCTATTAATATTAATAAGTGAATTTAAAAAGTAATAGAATACTAAGGTTAACATTTAAAAAGTGTATTGTATGTCTGTTTATGGGTAAGAAATGATTAAAAAATTTAAAACAACACTATATGATGGTACCAAAACTGTGCAGTTAAGTAGAGATGAATTTGACAAATGGTCATAAAAGCCAAGTATGGATGAGAAAAGTTAGAGACCTAAAAAATAGAAAGCTATACCATTTTCATAAATCATTAAAATGTTAGTTCTTCCAATTTTGTCCAAGCAATCTCAAGTAAAAATTTTACCTCAGTTTTGTTTTTGACCAGCTGATTCTAAAATTGGGTATAGACAAAGAACCTAAAAGTGGCCAAAGCAACTCTGAAGAACAATGTTGGATTCCTGATACTTCCTGGAGTACTTTTGAGTACCAACAGCCAACTTTCTAATTTGCCAAATACCAACTAGATCCAAATAGTTCAGTTTAATTCTGACACTGCCTGATGTTAGCATACACTCACATACACTCATTAGCCGTGACACACATAATGATGATAGATATGTAGGTAGAAAGGTAAGGAGGTAGGTAGATAGATAGATAGATAGATAGATAGATAGATAGATAGATAGATAGAAAGATAGATAGATAGATAGGATAGACAGACAGCATCAGCCCTTCCATATAGACATTAGCCATTACACACATAATGATTGTAGATATGTAGGTAGGTAGGCAGGTAGACAGACAGACATATATATATATATATATATATATATATATATATATATATATATATA